TTGATAAATCCATGAAAATTATGATAACATGATGAATTAAATAAATGAGAGAGAGCAAAATAATCGAAAGTAATTATATTGAGATATTCGACTTTTCTTAGATATTTCAATGTACGAGTGATATGACTCTTTCTCACTCTGAAGTATTCACAAAGAAGGGCATCCAAATAACAACAACAATAACAACCGAGGTGAACATGTTTAAGATAATAAATATCTCAGCGTTCCCAAATAAGCACCAAAATAACGTTGTTCCATTCCGCTTTCATATAAAAAATTCTTTGAAATCATTTTAAATGCAGAAAAGCCAAATTCAACAAAAGCAAGACCATTGTTTTTGGTGGCTTTTACCATCTATGGTCGGTGCGTCATATCAATCAAGACCAATTTAAGCAAATTGATTTATAATCCATAACCATACTTTTGATGCGGTTCCTTCTTGTTGTAAAAGAATTTCTTTTCAGTAAAGATTCCAATCTCCGAAAAGGCATGTCCAATTCCACCATCATCAACAAGATATAATGTTGTTACATTGGTCAATGGATCGATTGGTGGGGTCGATCGATGAAGAAAAAGTCTGTTTTGTGACCTGTTAGATTGATATTGTCAACCTTTCTACGATTTATCTCAACATCTGACCATTTTATATACAACAGAGCTAGAGATCGTATTGAATTCGATGCTAATAATGGTAACAAATTGCGCAATGATGATTTCGTAGAGACTAGAATTGGGGATTGATTGAAAACAAATGATCAACCTTTCCGCTTTGATTGCCCATTAAATTGCTATTGGTTCGTCTTGTAATTTAAATCTGGAAACTTTGAACCTTTAAAAGATGAAATCAATAGAGAGTGGAGATGAAAATAAAGCTGACCATTGGATGCAATGTTGTTGTTTGTTCTTTTATTTAAATATGGACCTGTCATGTGTCTCACTTTTCCCAAACAACTTTCATTTTCACCACCTTTTAATTCAATACAATAGTTCTCGAATTACAGGATTGATCCACAACTTCAGAAAAGTTTTTGTAAATCATCCCATGGCACATTGATGGTTCGATCGGCATTGTAATTCATTCCTCTCAATTCACGAGAACCTAATGGATTACTTAATGCATCACCAACACCCATGGCAATGATCTTCCATTGAACGTTGTAACGATTGAATGGATTGTCTGGATCAGATGGAATCACTCCAGCAGAATTTTTCTTCCAACTGTTGTTGTTGTTGAGGTGTTTTCAACATTCGTTTTTAATATATATGGTTCAATTTTAAACAATCAATTGTCATGACGTCATTCCAATAGATTATGAAGAATACAAGTATGAGTCGTAATGATGTAAAACATTTTGATGAAATATATTACAAATAAATCTGAAATGTCACAAAGCACTTACCTATTGATCTTTTGAGCAACTGGTATAGCATCTGCACAAGGCAAGCAACTACTTGAATAATCATCCCATGAACATTGTGAACAAGAATAAGGATAGAATGCAAAGTTGTTTGGATCTCCGGGAGTGTAAGGAAATTGATAATTGCATTGATTTTGATAAGCTTGTTGCTTTTGTGTGTTGCTGAGCTGGTTATTGTCAATAATTAAAGTTCCAACGGTGTAGGGATAAAGACTTGGTTTGGTGCTCCTAAATAAGGAATAAATCAATCGAAATGTTAAAAAAGGTAATCATGAACCAACGTTAAAATCATTGTTTCAATCAATACAACAACTTTCACTACTTACCAGAATGAAGAACAAGCATCACACGAACATGGTATGTTTGCAAGACCATCTGTCAAGATATACATGACTTTCTCAGCGTCTGTTCTTCCATTTCGTGCCAATTCATTAAATGCTTCACGAATACCAGCCAATTGAGCAGTCCATCCAGCCTCATAGGGCATATTCACAAAGGTATTCTGAATATCTGTGAGTGAACTTGTGAGGGAAGAGCCAAAGTTGATGACGTATGAAATCGAACAATTCCAACCTTAATGGCATCTTCACCCAATTGCATGCGAGAGACAATTTGTTGACCCAAAGCACGAATCTTTTGGAAATTGTCCCAACCAATGGATCCTGATGCATCAATCACGAACATGAAATCAATCTTACTCTTACACATGCAATTCTTGAATTCAATATAAACGTCAGCATTTCGTGAAATTCCTGAAGCGGTTCTAGCAGTGTATTGGAATTTATCAGCTTGACATGAATTTGGATCTGAATCAACTTCAACATAAGTGTCACCATTCACATTGAGCACACGAGGAGTTCGATGACAATAGGTAGAGTCTGGGCACTGAACAGAAACAAAACTCATTCCATTCAATCCATATTCGTCCGTGTCATTTTGTAACATTTTGGTCACTGGAATTCGAATGGTTTGTCCTTGATCAATACTAAAAGCATCGTTTCTAGCAAATGGATTTAGAGAGAGAGATTGATGGTAATTAAGGCATTGTTTGAACTGAGTGGATTGGTGCCATCGTCATCTGTCACTTTGACAGTAAGTTTACATGAACCTGAAGGAACCTTTCTTGTGAGAGAAATGACATTTCCTGAAATAGTCACACTCGAAGCAATGGTATTCAAACAATTGGAAGCATCGACAAGACTCAATGTCAACACATCTTGAGGATCTGCATCTGATGCATAACCATCTGCCACATAACTCATGGTGTGAACGAAACTACTTTGTGAAATGACAAATGAATAGTTTGCATTTTGAGAAATAGGTGCAGTATTTGTGACTGTCACAGTGAGTGGACATTGAGCAGTTAATCCATAAATATCACTCACAATGAACGCAGCAACCTTGGTTCCACTATTTTTGAGAGCAGCTGTAAAAGTGGTGCTTCCTGTAATGTTTCCAACACTTGACAAGGCACCTGCATTTGAAATGTAAAGGTCAGATTTTTTCCTTCTGGATCTGCACTCACAGCAGCCATTTTGGATTTGAAATCATAGGAAGATCCCTTCGTTAAGGTTTGTGAAATTCCACCTGAACAAGTAGGTGGTTGATTGGTGTAATTTTCAGGAACGACATGAACCAAGAGAGTACCAATGGCAAAACTGGAAGCATCCCATTGACCAGTTGTTTGATTCAATGTTTGATCAGTAATTTCATAGGAAATGACATCATCACCAATGAATCCAAGAGGTGCAGTGTATTGAACGTGAGTGGCATTGAGTGGAATTAAGCTTCCACCATTGGATGAAGTTTTGGTCCATCCAGTACTCAATCGAATTTTAGAAGTATCACCTGGATTGACATCCACGTCATTGGAAACAACATTGATGATAGTGAATGAATTTTTGATGCAATAAGTTTCATCTGGATTTGCAGTAGGAGGATCATTCACTACTTGAATGGAATAAGTGGCCATTCGAGATTTGCTTTCACCATCTTCCATTACAATTTGAAAACTTTGAGTATAGATTTGATTTGGTAATGGATTGAATTGAATGGAATAATCATTTCTCACCACAGTTCTCCAATCACAACATGGAGCTCTCACAATTGAAGATGTTTTTGAATTAATCAAAGAAGAACCAACTATGGAAGGAGATGGAGTGATGGAACTCATTGTCACTGTGTCCAAAATATCACTCTCTGTATAATTAATTGGAATGAAATTATTCATTGAATTCTTTTTCACAATGGTTGAAAAGTCATTCACTAAAGGAGGAGTGTTAAACACCTTAATGAACACCACAGCACTTGCTGCCTTTTCACCATCACTAATGACATATTCAAAACTATCTGAATACGAAGTTGAGACAGTACTTGAAGTCAAGTAAGTGATAGTTTTCTTGTCAGGTTGATCCACTGTGGCACTGGCAACACCCACAGAATTGATAGAATCAATGGTAATGTCATCTTCATTGGGATCATAATCATTGAGAAGAACATTTAAAGTCGCTTGAGAATATTTTGGAACATAGTAAGCATCATCTTTGGCCACTGGAGCTCCATTTGTAACGACAATTTTCACAACACTCGATGAGAATTCCACTCCATCACTCACAGTATAGTTATAACTTTCAGTTCCAATAAAGTATTTGGTTGGAGAGTAGGAAATACCATACGAAAGAAGTTTGACACTTCCCAATTTGAGAATGTTACTCGAAGTGTTTTTCATAGTGTCTGAAGGGATCAAAACACCACCAGAAACATCACTCACAGTCAAAACATCAAACGAGTCCAAATCAAACATGGAACCTCCATTGTCATTCACATATGTCAAGAAATTCAAATCCACTGGTTTGGAATTCTTCTCCACTTGGAATTCTAAAGGAATGGCATGAGGTGGTCGATTCAATACATGAACCATCACCAATGCTTCAGCTTGCAAATATCCATTCGAAACCACATATACAAAGGAATCATTTCCACTAAAAGTTCCATTCGATTGATAGAGCACACTACTCGAAGAGACAATTTCCACAGTACCATTCAATGGCAAGGTTTTGATGGAACTAACTGTCAAGTTACCACCACGGGGATCAAAATCATTCAATAAAACGTTAATGATAATTGGTTGATGTTTGAACGTCTCTGCAAAGTCTGGCTTGGGATTTGGAGCTTGATAACCAACGCCAACTGAGACGAGAATGACTGTGGCTACCACAGAGGCAATCACGACAGAACTGATAATTAACCCAACTGTTAGTTGAATTCATTGGCAGTTGAAATTGTTTGCAGAAGAGTGGTGGTGGTAGGGGTGTTGGTGGGGTGTGTGAGGATGTTGAATGGATAAACAGAGATCAACATTCACATATAAGGCAATGTGGTCACAGGATTAGGATTCACACACAAACAGAAAGCATCACCACGAACAAGAGTCATCGATGGAGTGGTGAATGGGTTGGATGAGGGTCGGGTGAGGGTTCGCATTGAATAAATGGTTCATCATCAATTCGTTGTCATTCCCATGGGTTCGCATGAAGGAACAAGCAACAACAGCAACACACGTGTGAGTGATAACAACCACATACATCAATGGTCATAATCGTGTGTGAATGATTGAGGACAATCGAGAGAAGAAGGGTACATTGAAATAAGCAATCATCAGATCACTATTCCAATAACAAGACTTTCAAAGACAAGACTTACCAATAGTTTGAACCAATGTGGATGTCTTGAAGAGAGAAGGGTTGATATGAAGACCCTCCAGTTTGGATGTACTGGAAGAAATAATATCGCCAGCCGAAGGCATCCCCAAAGTCGTTTCTTAATAGTTTACAAAAGTTGTTGTTTGATTTTTTGAAAGATGGTTCGACACTGAAACTCTCAACATTATAAGCGATTTCTATTGTTGTCATTGCGAAACGTTATAAAATGCAAGAGATCAGACGTGTGGATGTGAGAAAAACAATTACGTGTTGACACGAAGTGAGAAAGAATTTCTTACTGCTTCAATCAATACACGTTTAAACGGATCACCATGACATATACGAATATATGTCTATAAACGGTGATGTCGAGAGAAAAAATATCCCGCCAGCCGAATCATGGCTTGGGAGATCTCGTTACCTGTCACTCCCACCCCTTTTAGTAACAGAGAAGGATACAAGAGGGTTGATCTCTGCTAAAGTGAAAAATGTGAGACAACGAAACAAGAAATCATTCCTCAAATTTTGAGAGTTTCTCGAAAGAGTTCTCTCGAGAGTTTTCAATGTGTGTTCTCTATAGGATTAAATTCTTGCATTCTGTTGTGAGAAACACTGATTTTACAGTGATCGTTTTTGAAAGAGGTTCGTGTGTCAACATTCTGAGAGAGTCTAAAGTATGGCAAATTGTGAAATCCTGTTCACGTCTCACGCCTGAACATTACAAATCATCTGCCAACTCGGATTGACCACCACCACCACTGCTGCTACTACTACTCGTTGAGGATTTGGAAAGTTTAGATAAACAACTTCTCAGTATAGAACAAATTTCATCCCATTCTGGACGATCGTTTTCAATCTTTGACCAACATTTCACAATGAGTTTCATAATGACGTTTTTCACAACCTCATACTCGAGGTTGGTGAGGTCTGCAAAAAACATTTCTCTCAATTCTTGAGAGGTTGGAAGTGGTGGTCTCAATTCATCATGAATCACTCTGTGTGCAATTTCATAAACATTCATGTTTGGATAAATTTCCTTCTCAAATATTAATTCATAGACACAGATTCCAAAACTATAGACATCGGATTTGAATGAATAGTGACCATCCAATAGAACTTCTGGTGCACTTATTTCAATAGTTCCTGCTTTAGTGCCACGTTTTTGTCGATTCATTAAACAATGGAAAGCAGTTCCAAAATCTGATATTTTCAATGTCCAATCGTTTGTGACAAGAAAATTTGAAATCTGTGTTAATAAGAACATATAATGAATGACCAATCACTGAATGATGAAAATACTCACCTTCACATCTCTGTGAATAATATTCTTAGACTTTAACATATTCAAACCATTGGCTGCATCCAATAATAATTTGATTTTCTTTCTAAGACTAAGTCCAGATTTAAAATGATGATTCAACAGGATGGATGGTCGTGCTTGGTTTGTTCTTGCGTCCACAGAAAGTCTGGTAAGTTGTGAATCAGTCACTGGTGTTTTTGCAGAAAGAAACTTTTTAGATTTTGTCTCTAAATAATCGTTTCGATTATTACTATCATTGACATTAGAATAACTAGTCTTGATGATCTTATCGACACTTCCTCGAGAACAATACTCTGTCACAATATAAAAGAATGGAGGCTTAATAGTTGCTCCAATAAACTGTACAATATTTGGATGTCTTATTGAACTCAAAATTTGAGTTTCTTTCATGTATTCTTTAAGAGGATCTTCCAATAAGTCACATATTAAACATTGTTTTACAGCTACAAGTACACCCATATACTTGGCTTTATAGACAATACCACTGCTTCCCACTCTGTATTGGATCCAATTTAGTAATTCGAGATGAATGACTACTACTCTCAAAATACTTACCCAATTTGGTCAATGAGTTCCAACTCTTCACTCATAACGCTCATATTTCTGAGTTGAGGTGAGACCTTTACAATCGCATCATTCAATTCTTTTGATAAATCATTGTAAGGTAAATTTTCTGGATGCTCCACAGGTTGTATCTTTTCTAAATGCTTTGGTCGATTTTGTGAAATTGAAATACTATTTGGCACGATTAAAGTCTCCTCAGAATTATGTTGATTCAATGAGTCTTGATCGGTTGAATCATTCTTCTTCATTCCCACCACACTCAAAGTCGTTAAATCATCAAGCTCATCATTCATTGCCTGTTCATGCTTGAACACTGAATTAGAGAAATTATTGGATTTCTGTATTAATACATTGGAGCCACAATTTTGTATGCACTCTTCCTCATCCATTCTTCCATAATATTGATGATGATGACCATCCTGTGAAGGATACCTCTCATCCGGAGAGGCGATCAGACGGAGTTGAGACTTTTTCGTTTTCCAGGACATGCACTGCAGCAACAACTTAGAAACCTTTTCCATAGCAGTGATTCCTTCTTGATCATGACATGAGAAGAAGATCTCTGCCATCTCACAAGGATATAGATCAAGCAGCAAAAGAGAATGAAATTACTAACAGTCAATGATATACATATGGATATGATACCCCATTGAAGAAAAGGAGAATTATTGAGAGGAAGTAAATGAGAGGTTTGAGTATCGCTCATTGTTTTTGGTCAGCAAGTCTTTGGCGTGTTGTTGTTTTGACAAGAATCAAAATTGATGTAATGTCAATTCCGATGTTGTTAGCCAAAGGATGAATTCTATATTTACAAATTGAAACGTGTTCAGTTGGATGAGACTCACTGTTGAGGAGATAATGATGCTACCGCAATCCTGAGCTGATGAATCATCGGCTACAACTCTTGTTCAAATAATAAACAGCAGACTTTTGGGTTCCGAAAATTTGTTATCAGCACAAAGCAACAGTGATGTCAAGCTATTTTTTCCTAAGATCTGAGAAAGGATTTTCGATTGTGAGAAGAATCATGATTTCTAATTAGTGCCAGAAAAGGAAGGTAATAATTGTGAGGATCATTGTGAATGATCGGTTTATTATTTAATTATTGAAAGTAGTAAATGAGAGATGCACTTTCTTTACTTTTCTTTTTGTTCAAAGCTTCCACTGATGACAGAATGAACGACCTGTTTTGCCAAACCTTGGACTGCAACACTGGCTCTCTTTTGAACGTTGGACACTTGTTCATCAATTTCTTGTTCGTGCTTATTGAGGAATGGCTCCACATATTTTACATAAAGGAGTGTGGCACCTCTGGTTTGGGGTGCAATAAGCTGCATGTGTATTCACAAGCACGGCATCAGTAGAAATTGAAAATAAATTCCATGTTGTTGTCATGAAAAATATATTCGAGTATTACTTGAGTAACTTACCCAAATAATGAAAAAGAATTTAATTTCCCAATAAAATGGAATAAAGACAACAATGACCAACAAGTAATACTCGAACACATGAATGAGAGCATAAATAATCCAATAAATTCTAAATTTGTTGTAAATTCTCTCATTGTCAATGAGTCATTACTACTTACAACCAATGCTTGTCATCATTTGATTGTGGTGATCGAATGGCCTTGAATGACGCATAGGCCGGTAAAATAAAAGACACCAAGTGACAAATGAGTTGAGTAAAAGCAGAACTGTAATTTTGTATGCATCATCACCACGCCGATCATATTTGATTATTGATTGACATGCCATCATAAAATAGATTTACAATATATTTTTAAAGATTTGATTAAATCATCATATTTTGATAATCATGGATGACATGTTCAGTGTATGATATATCAATCATCCGATCCATACCTGAACAAATAATCATAATCTTCGACTCGCGTTGTTCCATCTTTCTCTACATAAACAACTTTGACACTTGCACCCGAAGAAGAAGAAGTAGAATCATCGTTTGCCCTAACCAGCATGGCAAGACTTGTCAAGACAAATGAGACTCCAAGAAGGACGTGAAACTGAGTGTTCGAAGTGTTTAGCATTTTTTTTAAGAAATTCTAATGCCATCTCTGGAATGACAAGAATGCATTCTTACTTGGGTATCCTCAATTAATTAGAATCAAAGCTGGATTCGGTGAACATATTCCTCAATAAATTTTTTTGTGCATGCTTTTATTACAAGCATCACTCGCTAAACCAACCATCAGTGCTTTCTTAATTTTGTTCAAAATGTTGATTAAAGATCAATTAGGTCAACAAATTAATTTCAAGTTAGAATGAGGAGATGGCATAATCAATCAGAAGAAAACAGTTAATGCGTGGTCTTTCCTGTTCCATAATGTTTTTCCATAAAGTGAGTAATGAATTCAAATGAGAGGAACATGATGGCTGTGTTGGGCACAACTCTAATAAGGTGAGCTCCCATTCCAGAATATAGACCTTTTGTTCCTTCTTCTATCGCTATTGTTTTGAATGCATTAATCATGCCTTTGTCATATCTACATTTTCCATCTACAATCTCTCTCATTCTTGTTCTCACAACCTCATGTGGATAAGTTATGGCGCTCGCAACTAATTTGCATCCACCACTCACTGTAATGTAGGTAAGTGGAGTGAATTTGGGAGTTTCTCCTTCTGAACTACTAGTTGATTTTAAGGCCATTCGTTTCACTTGTTCATACAAGACAAAATAAATTGCAGTTTCAAATATTCCAAGGAACGAAGCTGTCAGACCTTTGTAAAAACCTTTCACTCCTTCATCTCGATAAATTCTGCTGATACAATCCATGTATCCATTATAATTCGGTGTGTTACTGCCACGTGACGAATTGGGTTTGTATAAATCTAATTGGATCCTAGTTTTCACTAAAAACATTGGGTTCATAACTGCTGGTACGACAACACCACATGCTGCGGCGCTTCCAATATGAACAAGTGGACTGTCTGAAGAGAGTCCACAATATTTGCTCATCAAATCCTTAGTTCCTGAATAAGTTGCAAAGTAAATTGCTCTTGAAGGAAAAATACCAGCAATATTTGGTATTAATCCTCTAAATAATCCATGAAGTCCCTCAGTTTTTGCTGTAATTTTTAAAGAATCAATAATTTTAAGAAGGAAGTTCTGTTTCGTTGCTGCATCATTGTAAATTTTAGCTGAGCTTTGAAATCGGGTTTTCAATACATCCAAAGGCTGAGTTACTACGCTAGCAATGCTTCCCGAAATACCACCTGCGAGAAAATTAACAGTGTTCTTATTCGTTAGAAAACTTTGTTTTGGTGTAACAGATGTATCGGGAAGTGATATAGGTGGTGTGGTATCAAATTTGATATCGGATTCAACAATGGTAGTTGATGTGTCCTCGATATCAATAAGTACTCGGATGATGATGTATCGTCCTTTTTCATTGTGTTTCAAAATTTAGGTGGGATGTTGGGAATGATGATGGTAAATCGTGAGAGAATAGAAAATTTCGATTGTCGGACCCGGACCACAACGAATGATTGGATTGTCGTGTGTTCAATTTTTTTGATTGGCTTTTAAAAATCACAACAAATTGACTGAATAGATGTAAGACAAGCCAAAATCAGACCATACGGTTCTTGAGAAAAAGTGATGATTTTATTTTGTACAAAGCAGATATGTGTGTGATGAAGACCACTGACGTATTCACAAAGAACCACTTTAAAATTGGAAGAATGAACTAGCCAACTCTCCGAGTTGCTCTCTTGCTGATTTAAAGACTTGCGTGATGGTCTCACTTCCTTCCACACCACTTGAAGCATCAGCTCCTGTTTCAACAGCAGCAACCTTTTGAGCAATTGCCGATGAGTCTGTTTCAATGATGATACCATCTTCCAAAACTTCATCCAAAGCCAAAACTATCAAATCAAAATTTTCAAGGAAAGTTCTCTTTGTCAATTGATTTCTAAAGAGCATCATCAAGCCATCAATAAGACCCGATAACACTTCCGATAATACTAATTCATTTTCGTATCCAGCTCCAACAACAAAAAAGTAAATATCCTGAACATTTTGAAACACAATATTAAAGCTATCAATCATTATTATATCACACTCTCCGGAGGAAGGTGTTTTGCTTTTGATGGTCTTGTTGGATACATTTTCTTCCAAATCTAATTGTTTTCTTAAATTACTCTTCAGATCGTTCGAGTAGTATTTCGATAATAATCGTTTTCCGTTTTGATCCAGAACAAACACGCCTCGTATTTGATGAATGAATGCTTCCATTTTTTTTGTAATGTGATAATCGGTGCCTGCTTTGTCATTGACCAGCCCAAAGGTTCAATCATATGTGTATTAGGGATCACACCTTTTCTCGAATTGTTCTTACTCATTGCTCCAAATTATGACAACTCATCGATTTTATAATGATGGATACCTCACATACAACATTTGAAAAAAATCATTGGTGGGCGTTATAACTTGACAGGCCACGAGGAGTTCGCACGTTGAAGCGCCCGCTTATTTTTACGACAAGCCATTTCGTGATTAAAAAACATGCAAACAACATCCCCTTCCGCTGTAGCTTCAGCTCGATCCAACTCTCATTCGAGCTTGTCTTTACAAGATCCGTTAAACAAACCTCTCGAGAAGGAGCTCACGATTTTAGAGGATATTGCAAAACATGATGACGGAATAGACAGCGAGGATGAAGAGGAAGAAAAACATCAATACAAAGTCATCATTGTTGGAGGTAGGTTGAAGTAATAGTAATGGGATGATCCGAAACGAAATCGGAAAACAAAGATGGAACTGTGGGAAAAACATCAACGATCAGACGATTCACAGAAGACGAATTTCAACAATCTTACGTGAGAACTGTAGGAGTCGATTGGTTCATCAAAAACGTTTCCATGGTTGCCCATGGACCATTACAAAAAACAGACAATAAAGATGATAAAGGAAAGTTAAAGAAAATTGAAGTGACGTTTCAAATATGGGACATTGGTAGGTAATAATACATTTTCTGTGAACTCATTGTTGTTGACTTTAATAATCTCAGAGGGACAGGCTCTTGGATCCAAAATATTGGCCAGCTATATTTACGGATCTGATGCGGTCATCTTGACCTATGACATTACAAACTTGGAGAGCTTTCAAAATTTGAATGAATGGTTGAAATATGTGAAACATATATTTTCTGAAAACTACGAAG